CATGGATTGTTGATTTTATTTTTACTTAGATGTTGTATTTAAAAATAAATAAATTTGAAATGTTTGTGATTTTTAATTAAGGGCCCAATCATAAACATAATTGTTAAAAGGAATATGAGCTAAAATTGATATAATCATAAAATAGAACACTTTTTAAATACACCGTAAGCCTTCTCTACCTTTAACCGGGATTGAAGACTACGGGTGGAAATAATTATTGAGTTGTATTCTTACACCATTAAATTGGGTAAACATACAATAAAATAATTATGATTGCCGTTGTTACTAAATAATCACTCCGGATTTATCATTAGCGTGTTAAAGTCGGAGTGGTTATTATTTAGGTGAACTGCGAGAGCGTCCCTAAATAATTTTCTGCAACCCCACACATTCTATATAAAAATAAATTAAAAATCCAACTTTTATAAAAACATTGGACAATTAATTTACCAATTTCTACCCCTAACTTTTTATCATCAAAAACTTTGTGTTGTTTGGAACTCTCTTCTTTTACACTTTTTATTTTATCTTTAAAACCAAAAAGACCAAAATATTTTACAACTTCTTTTGTAAACTTTTGTTTAAATTAAATTAACTCACGTCTCCCTGAGGTTCGACACCCTACTTACAAGGGATTCTCTTTAGTTGTTATTTTTGCCCGTTCTATACTGCAAATCACTTACAAATGAGGCTTTTAGGGATATTTATAATAATCCTAAGCACATCAAGCACGTCACCGATTATCCAGCCGGTCAGTCTTCTGACCGGTTCCCTAATCATACTTCGAGAATAGAATCTGCATCTCTGCCGCCCGACCTACTCATACAGACCGGTCAGACAACCCGGGTTGAAGAAGTCGCGCGTTGTCACATTCGATACCACCCAGGCGGTCGGACCAACCGGGCGGTATCCATGGGTTATTACCCATCAAGGAGTCCTCCGATTCTCGGTCCTGTGGGAACCATTAGGGGCGGGAAGCATATGTAACCGTCCTTTCCATTTTGAATTGCTCAAGCGATTTTTGGCGGGAAAACGATTTCTGCAAACCAGCGCCAACTCGAAAATATTTGAATTTTGAATTTTTGGAAACCGGGTATCAAAGGCGGGAGAATCTTTATTGAAATCCGGTACGGAGCCGCCGATTTGTTGCGCCATTTCGTCTCCCCGAGAGGTTATGATGACGAATCATTTCGGCTGCCACGTGTCGCTACGCCATTCGTTCGGCTGGGTGGCACCTCCCCTATATAAAGCGAGGTTCCCCCTTGAATTTTCTCACTTGCAAATCATCAACTAAAAAACTGCCTGGTTGCTTCTACTATTTCCCAAGTCCTCCGAGTCTTCTAGTTCTAAGTAAGTCTCTTTTCTCCCTCCTCTCTTTGAGTCATGTCTGACCGCGAAGACAGCCAGAACCCCTCCATCCACTCTTATGGTTCTGGTGACCGGTCTCAGACCTCTGGTTCCTCTTCTTCTTCTTCATCTTCTTCTTCTGAGCACCCGACTACTTCTCCACAGAAGCAGCCGCTTGATGCCCCCACTGGTGCCCCTTCTTCTTCTGCGGCACAAGTGGTCTCGGTTGCCCAGCCTGGGGATGAGGGCTTCATTCAGCTGGACGACCGGTTGCTTCAAGAGCAACCGTCGTACATGCAGAAAGTCCAAGTCCACGAGTTGCGCAACCTTATGCCTGATGGGTACCAATTGACTTACCGGGCTTCGTGGAAGAATATTATTTCTCTCCATACCGGTACGTCGATTGGCATTCATTATCATTCCATCAAGGACCTGGGTGAATTCTCCATTCACCCATTCAAAGTCCTCTTCCTTGAGACATACGGGATCATGCCCGGGCAGATGGCCCCAAATGGTCACCGTATGCTCAACAGCTTCATAAATGTCTGCCGGTTCCTTCGTATTCCTCTCTCTCTTTGTCTCTTCGATCATATGTTCGATGTCCCGCCCGGGTCCAAGGAAACCCTTGGATTCGTGGTTGTGTCTTCTCACCAAGGTCGGGCATTTTTCTGTGGCCTTCCTCCTTCTAATAAGAAGTGGAAGGACAAATACGTGTCTATCAAATTCCCCCCGGCTGCTTTCCCTTTTGCCCAAAATGTCTGGGGGAAGAGAATGAAGCGCCAGGTCAAACCCGCGGAGACCGATGACCTGGTCGCTTGGGAAGCCACTCTCCGGGCCGGGGATGCCTCCACCCGTGGTCTTTACAACGTGGGGAAGTGGGGGGTTTACCCCGGTCGGGAGACTGATCCCGAGCCGGAGATTGTCCTGGCCAAGGTGATCCCGAACGCCATTCCCATCCGCCGGGTGAGAGGGTCCAAAGCCCCGGCCACCGCCACCGCCAGTCCTTCGCGCCCGGGGAAGAAGAAGAAGGAGAAAGGTCAACCCACTGCCCTTCTCCACTTTCCTCAATACTTATTACTTTTTACAACTCTGCTTTTCTAACCGGTCTTTTTCTTTTTGTTTCAGTGGTGAAGTTTCAATCCAAATTTGCTACCCCCAAAATCGTCATTGAGGAGCCTTCGACTGCCCAGCCCCTCAGCCAACCATCCAGCCAGCCGTTCTTACTGGAAGAGCAGCCGGCCCAGTCTCAACAGGGGACCAGCCAGCCAATCCACTCTGGGGAAATCTACATAAATGTAGATACCCTAGAGTTAGACAACATGCTGGCGGAAACCGGCCATACCTCAAAGGCCGGCCAGGGTGGCCAGCAAATTGAGGGGGGCCGGGATGAGGAGGAGGCTACTGAAGAGACTCTTCAGAGGAAGAGGCGGAGGGCCGAAGTCGTGGACCAGCCGGCCTAGTCCTCCGACGCCGGCAAAACGCACGGCGAGCCCCGGCCATTTGCCCTGATGGTCAGGTCAGACGAGGAACTCTTCCAAGCCTTCCAGTCTGATCTGCAAGAGGTAAATCCCCTACTCTTTCTGTCTCTTTACTTGTATTCCAAATTTATTTTCCTGAAAAAATCTTCATGTCTTTAAAGCAGGTCGGCCGGATCGGTCTGGAGTACTTCACCCGGTTGGTGAAGTCCAGGGACGAGGAGAAGGCCCGGCTAGAGGCCATGATGGTGGAATGCCGGAAGGATGCCCAGGCCGCCCATGCCAAGGCGGAGAAGGCGGAGGAGAAGCTGGTAGAGCACTGTGCGGTCTATCGCCAGCTCTACGCCAAGCATGACGGTCTCCTCAAGGCCGCAAAAGAGGCCGATGCGCAGGCCCAAGACAAGATTCAGCAGCTGGAGGCCGAGAACGCCCGGTCGGCTGAAGAGATTGCCCGGCTTGGGGATGAGCTGAAGAAAGAGAGGGCCGAACAGGCTTCTCTTGCAGCAGCCTGGGCGATTCAGGAACCAGAGGAGTTTGCTAGCCGGGCCATCACTGATCGAGATGCTGCCATCCGGCTGATCCAAGGGCTCTACAATCATGAGCCATCTGCCAAGGTCGTTGATGAAATCGCGACCTTTGGCTTTGAAAGTGGCCAATATGACGAGCGACAGGCGCTGTATGGCATCCTTGAGCAGCGGATCCAAGGCTTCAAGCCCAAGGCCCTTTCTCTGCCCGAGCTGCATGACGAGGCGCCGGTTCCTCCATTTCCGGGAATCTGATCTCCAAGGCCTTCTTCTTTTTTTTTTTTCTAATGTAATAATCAGCCTCCGGCTAGGGCTGTAAACAGATATCCAAAAATCCGATTACCGTCCGCATCCGTATTCGTTTAAAAAGGAAATATCCACATCCGTTTTAAACGGATATTATCCGTATCCGATTAAGGATATCCGATTACTAAACGGATACAGATTTGGTAATTGTATATCCGATCCGTTTAAAATCCGATCCGAATACGCATCCGTTTAGATAACCGTTCATCCAAATATCCGATCCGTTATATATAGTTTTTCCTATTTTTTTATGTTTATACTTTGTTTCTCTATTTATATTTCAGAGTATAAGAAATTTTTATTAACAAAATAAATGTGTAGACACATAATAATATGTGGAGACATATTAAAATATGTGTATATGTATGCTGTGTATATCTTTTTATCATATGAAGCTATCGTAGAGTATCATAAATGATGAAAACAAAAAAAATAATTATCCCATAACAAATTATAGTTGATTTAATAATAGTTTGAATTTAATATAATTTAAAATTAAAGTATGGTTTAATTTGATTTTAAAAATTAGAAACGGATACGGATATATCCGATATCCGACCGATATCCGACGGATGCGGATATTGTTTTAATTTTCAGTATCCGTCAAGATCCGCATCCGAATTTGATATCCGACAAATATAAACGGATACGGATTTGGTAATGGCACATCCGATCCGATTAATATCCGTTTACACCCCTACCTCCGAGCACTTTTTTGTAAGACTTCAATATTAATGAAAATTCTATTTCCATATTGTGTGCTGGGTTCCTGAGTACTTTATTTTTGCTTTATGTTTGATATATAAATTTCTTTCAACTTTAAATTCTCAACCGTGTAGATTAGCAAGTAACAGCCCGGCTGCAATTACTCAGTCTACTATACAGTTTTACCCAAGTCCTTTCGAAAGACTGACTAGGCGGCTGGGGAGAGAACAGATTCAACTAATCTTTTCCCGGCCGGTTTGTAGACCCACGATGGCAATTTGACTTGTCCTTTTCGAAAGGATAGTATTTTGCCCGGGCGCTTGTGAAGCCGGCCTGTCTTTCACAACGGCTTGCTGCCCTTGTGGAAAGGTAAGCGTTATATTTTTCTTCAATCATCTGACTTAACTAACCGGGATGCTGTCCCTTCAGTTACGTCATTTGACCTCCGTGTTAGTACGGATGAAATGTATGATCGGTTCGACCGGTCTCTCCTTTTTTTTTAAGATGCCCAATTCGATTGGACATCTAGCCGGGCAGATTGGTGTGTGACCAATTACCGATTAGTGTTTAAGAATAGTCTTTCTGAAAAGAACAAAGTTTTATTCATAACCGGGAACTCATTACACTTTATCTAAAGAATTTACGCAAGTGGTGAGAGTTCCAATGCCGGTCAACTCGTCCACCTTCCATGGTTTCCAGCTGGTAAGTGCCCGGCCTGATGACCGCCCTTACGCGATAGGGTCCTTCCCAGTTACGTACTAGCTTGCCCCTCTCATTAGGCTTACTGGCATCCCTTCTGCGTAAGACCTCATCATGCACTTGGAAGTAACGTGGGCCCACCCGGTTGTCATGATATCTCTTAACTGACTGCTGGTAGCCAGCCTCTTGACAGCTGCCATGGTCCTTCGCTCTTCCACCAGATTCAGCTCAGCTAGGTGGTCGGCTTCGTTCTGGCCGGGCTGATACACGGTCTCCCTAAACGTTGGGAATTCTGCCTCAATTGGCAACCGGGCTTCACATCCGTAAGTAAGCACGAATGGAGTCTCCCTGGTTGCTCTTCTTGAAGTCACCATGTGAGCCTAGATCCTGTGAGGTAGGGCTTCCAACCATTTGCGTCCCTCTTCTCCCAATCTCTTTTTCAACCCGTCCACTATTATCCGGTTAGCATTTTCTACTTGGCCATTTTCTTGTGGATAGGCTACTGATGCCTTGCTGTGCTTGATTCTGAAACTGGCCAAGTATGCAGTGAACCGGGGATTGCGAAATTGTGGGCCGTTGTCAGTGACAATCATCTTTGGGGCTCCAAACCGGGTAACAATGTTTTTCCAAACAAATTTCTCACATTGCCGTACGGTTATGGTAGCCATCGCCTCAGCCTCAATCCATTTTGTGAAGTAATCTATGGCGACCATTACGAACTTCTTCCCGCCTTGGGCGACCGGGAAAGCCCCAATAATGTCAATCCCAAACCGGGCAAAGGGAATGACATTAGAGGTTGGTTGATAATACGTGGCCGGTGTGCCGGGATGTTTGTAAAAAACTTGGCATGTCCTACACTTTTGCACATACCGCTCACAATCCCTAACAATGGTCGGCAGATAGTAGCCGAGCAGTATTATCCTCTGAGCCAACGTACGAGACATGTGATGAGCTGCACAAATCCCCTCATGTACCTCGGCTATTACCCGTTCTGCTTCCGGGTTGGTGAGACAACGCAGTAGAGGACCTCTAATGGCACGTTTGTATAGGTGACCGTCCAGTACTTGGAACCAGGGAGCTCGTAGGACTACTTTCCTGGCCCGTTCTTCGTCGTCCGGTTTCTGGCCGGTCATTAAATACTCCATGAGATCGTATCTCCAGTTATCATCCGCTTCAATCACCCCGGTAGCTGAACTCTGGCCTTGCTGAATGGCTGCGACCTCAAATCGGTCAGCACTAGGTTGGTCCAATATCTCGATTTTTGCCAACTTCGACACTTGCTCCGGGCAGGCTTGCGTTAATTTTGAAAGCATATCAGCATCAACATTTTCTGACCGGGGTATCCTGGTCAAACGAAACTCTTCTAACTCCCTTAGAAGTGCTCGGACCAGGTCACTATACCGGGCCAGACGATCTTCTTTAACTTCCATCTCACCATTGACCTGTCCAACGACCAGACTTGAATCAGATCGGATCTTCATTCTCTTTATCCCAAGTGCCCAGGCTAATCTAAGGCCACCGGCTAGTTCCTCATAGTCCGCCTCATTGTTGGTAAGCTTGAAGTTAAAAACCAAGGCATGGTAGATTTTGAATCCTTCCGGGGTAGTGAAGACTATGCCGGCTCCGCATCCCTTCGGTCCAGAGGCCCCATCAACGGCCATGTCCCACCACGATTCGACCGTATGGGAAGGTCCAACTTCAGCCTCCAGACCGGTCAGCTCCACAAGGAAGTCGGCCAGAGCTTGACCCTTGATTGCGGTCCTAGGCTTATACTCAATCTTAAACTGAGTGAGCATCATTGCCCACTTGATCATTCGTCCCGAAGAAGTTGAATTTCGGAGGACCGACCCAAGTGGCTGACTTCCACGGCGTGAGCTTGGAAGTACGCGGTCAGTTTTTTGGCCGTTATGAAAAGTGCATACGCTGTTTTTTCAATGGCAGTATATCGGCTTTCTGCCCCATTAAGTGCTTTGCTCACGTAGTAAATAGGCCTCTGGTCGTCTTCATTTCTTATCAAAACAGAGCTTACAGCGTTTTGGGATATGCAAGATACAAGTACAAAGTTTCACCCGGTTTGGGCTTAATTAGACAAAACTATATTAGAAACTAAGTACTTCTTCAGCTGTTGGAAAGCTTCTTCACACTCCCGGTCCCATTCAAACATGTTGGCCTTCTTCAAGACCTTGAAGAAGGGCAAGGCTCTTTCAGCTGATCGGGAAAGAAAACGGCTCAAAGCTGCCAGCCGCCCGGTGAGTCGCTGCACGTTCTTCAGTGAACCGGGCGACCTCATCTCGGTTATGGCTTTAATCTTTTCAGGATTAGGCTCAATACCACGCTTGGTCACCATGAACCCCAAAAACTTGCCGGTCTTTACAGCAAAGACGCATTTCTTGGGGTTAAGGCGCAAGTTGTACTTAGCCATGATCTTAAAGCATAGCCTCATGTCAGCCGGATGGTTTATTGCTCCCGGGCTCCTGATCAGCATGTCGTCGACGTAGGCTTCCATGGACTTACCGAGGAGTGGCTTGAAAAGCTGGTTTACCATCCTCTGGTAAGTAGCGCCTGAATTCTTAAGTCCAAAAGCCATTACCCGGTAGTAATAGGTGCCTTCAGGAATTAAGAAATAAGTTTTCTCCTCGTCTTCCTTTGCCATGAAGATCTGATGGTAGCCTTTGAAAGCATCCATGAAGCTCAGCAACTCACACCCGGCCGTCTCATCGACCATTTGGTCGGGACTAGGCAGCGGGTATGAATCCATGGGGCAGGCCTTGTTCAGATCCATGTAGTCTACGCACATACGCCATGTGTCGCCCTTTGGTTCTAGGACGACGTTTGCCAACCAGGCCGGGTATTGGACTTCTCTGATATGCCCGACCGACAACAGATCCTTCACTTCATTCTTAACAAAGTCCCTTCGGACATTTGCCAAGTGTCTCTTTTTTTGTTTCACCGGCCGGCTGCCTTCAATAACAGCCAACCGGTGGCAGATAATGGACCGGTCAATGCCCGGCATATCCGCCACACTCCAAGCGAATATGTCCGCAAACTCCTGGAGTACTGAGATGACTTCTTCTCGAAGTCCTCCAGGCAAGTCCCAGCCTATCTTCACCATTCTCTCCGGAAATGCTTCCCAGAGGACAATCTGCTCGGTCTCGTCACCCGGTTCCAACTTCGACCGGTCTTCCTCCTGGGAGACCAGGGTAACCCTTTCGAAGGCCTTTGTCATCTTCTTTACAGCCTCCAAGTAACAAGACCGCGCCTTCTTCTGATCTCCTCGGACTTGTCTGATACCGCCCGAGGTATAGAACTTCATGCAGAGGTGGACCATGGAGATAATTCCACGGACTTTGTTTATTCCAGGCCGGACTAGGATGGCATTGTGAACACATTTGATGTTCACTACCACGAATCTCATCTATTTTTGGATTACCTTGTCTCCCGTGCCCAGCTCACAAGTTAAGAGGATTGACCCCTCAGCTTCAACAGAGTCACCGGTGAACCCGGACAGGGGAGTCTTTAAGGGTTCAAGCCGCGTTCGACACAACTTGAGTTTCTTAAAGGCATCCAAGTACATAACGTTGACACTACTGCCCGTGTCAACAAGTACCCGGGAGACATCGACTCCACCCATGTCCATGGTTATGACCACGGGGTCATTGTGATCTTCGCCGGTGGCGGGAAGGTCCCGATCAGTAAAAGTGATCGGCTCCCGCCTAGTCTACTTCCTTCGGGGATCGAGGGCCACCGTGCCGACGTAGAGCTCTCGCCCCCATTTTTTCCTTTGCGAAGCAGAATCCCCCCCCTCTGGTCCACCATAGATAACTTGTAGGTGCTCCTTACTGGCTGCTTTCTTCTTCTTGCTCTGCTCGGCCAGTTGTCCTTCCGGCCTGACCCATTGATTCTTCTTTTGCTTTGCCTGAGCCAGATACTCTGGGTCAAACTCTCCGGCCTCAATCATCTGCTTGATCACCCCCTTAACACTATTGCATTCTCCAGTGTTATGGGAGTCAGTCTTATGGAAGGAGCAATACTTCTATGTCCATTGTTTCTCCCCTGCTGGTTTCTTTTCTGTTTTGACCGGCTTCACCTCCATCACTTCCGTTTTCACCCTGCCGGGCAGTTCAATTTCCTTTTTCAAGGAAATCCTTCCTCTGGAATGGCCTTGCTCGGCCTCTCTTTTAGACGACACTTGTGCCTCTATGTCAGCGTAGTCCCAAGCCGTGTTGTAGGCCTCTTGGTAGGATTGGGGAGGCCTTCTGCAGAACTCTTTGTACAACTCTCCGGACCGAAGCTCGGACACCAAGAGGGACATGGCGGTTTTGTCGTCCATTTCCTCCACCTTGTCAACTTCATCCTTCCACCGGGTGAGGAACTTGGTCAAATCCTCGTGCTCTCTCTGCCCGGCTGTACTAAGGTATGTAAATTTTTTCCTCTTGGTACAATTTTCTTTGAACTTTTCTTGAAACACTTCGGCCAGCTCATCGAAAGAATCGATTTCGCCAGCCGGGAGGTTGTGAAACCACTCAGCGGCTCGGCCGCGGAGGGTCTGGAAGAAAAGTAGACATTTTTAGTCCCCGGAAAGGCCCATCATCCTTCCACTCTGGTGAAGGGTTTTGACATGTATTTCCGGGTCCTCTTTCCCGGTAAACTTCGGGACCTCCAACTTTGCCTTCTTTGGGAATGGGGTCTCGTGAACCCGGTCTGTGAACGGAGATTCGTTCAGCAGGATTTTCTTCTTTTCATCCCGGTCAACCCGGCGTTGCAATTTTTCCAGACGTGCTTCTACCCGGCCTACACGGTCCCTAAGTTGTTCAACATGGGAGCGGACCGTGTGCCTGGGATGGCTTTCCGCTTCTTCTTCTTGATGAGGCGCCCGGCTGTTCTGGGGCTCATCGTGAGGGGGTGGTTCCGTGCGCCTGGTCCGACCAGGTCGCCTAGCCCCTCTTCCCAGTCGGTCGAAGGCGTTCACCGGGGTGGTCTCCACTCCTAGTCGTTCTCTAGCAGACCGGTTTTGATTCCTGCCGTCATGTCCCAGCCTTTGAAACGCTAATCTCCTGGATCCTTCAGGCTGGACTGCCTTTCCTTTTAACTTCTTTTGGGCCTGGGGTACATCCCAGCCCTCGTCCTTGCTATGGACTGAGCGCACATTGCCATCAGGCGTGATCTGTGTGACCTCCGGGACCGACTCCTTCTAGACCGGGATGGACCAGCTTTGTCCATCTCTCCGATCAGATTTGTTGGAGCGACCGGGCGGATGATATTAGTTTGGGGCAAAGATTGTGGGTACAACCGGGAATGAAAGGTGAAAATCCTCCCGGCTGTTGAAACATGGACATGAACTGCCCAAAATTTTGGAATGCCTGTGAAAACATCGGGTCCATGGGCCCGGGAAAATTTGGAGGGAAAATAGGGACAGAGGTGACAGGGGAAGTGAATGGAGTAGGTGTTGGAATGGTGATGATGAGGGTAGGAATCTGGTTTGAGGGTTGGGCACTTCCTCCCAGGAACGAGGTGACGTTCTCAACGGGAGTAGAGATTTGTGAGATGACGGTTTCCTGGTTGCTTGCCATGACTTTTGTAATAGGTCCCACGGGTGGCGCCAATTTGATGGTGTAAATTACCACGCAAATACTAAGTATAAATGATCGGAAGGGCTGTAGGTGGAAACACCTGTAACCCGGTTTGTTATTAATGATAGTAGGAGCTATTACAAATACAAGCCGTGTGGATTAATTAAAGCATGCCTTACAAATGAGGCTTTTAGGGATATTTATAATATTCCTAAGCACGTCAAGCACGTCACCGATTATCCAGCCGGTCAGTCTTCTGATCGGTTCCCTAATTATACTTCGAGAATAGAATCTGCATCTCTGCCGCCCGACCTACTCATACAGACCGGTCAGACAACCCAGGTTGAAGAAGTCGCGCGTTGTCACATCCGATACCACCTAGGCGGTCGGACCAACCGGACGGTATCCATGAGTTATTACCCATCACGTTCCATAAGAAGGTCAACAATAAAGCTCCATTTTGTATACGGGATTCAAGTCATCGAATTGGAATTAGAAACATTAATTCTAATTCTAGTGTTTGGTAGTATAAAAATATGTGACTTTGGAATTGGTAGTGTTAAAAATGAATTGGAATAGGAGAATTCAATTTCATCAATTCAATTCCATAGAATTCCAATTCTAATTCAATTCCAATTCTAATTCAATTTCAATTTTGTCAATTCCGTGTACCAAACGGGCCCTAAAGAAAGATCAAAAGGCATGAATTATGAATGCAAAATCATGGCCAATGTAAAAAATCATGGCCACCATAAAAAACCATGGCCTACTTAAAAAACCATGGCCATCATCAAAAACCATGATCAACCCCAGTAGAGCAAAAGCCATGAGTTAGATGCCCTAAATCCAACAGCCACCCCCAACCCTAGCTACTACACAAACCATGCATACCAAGGCTAGGAAAAGATAATATAAGCGCACCCATATTATCCAGAATTCTCCATAACCCCAGTAGAACACGTAATAATCCTCCAAACTACACGCAAGCACTACTCCCCGCATGATAGGAAAAGGATGTCCCAAAGATCTAGTTCTTTCAATTCCTCCATCGGGTTAAGAAATTATTCAAATATTCCCCATTCTTCTTCCAAGCGGACGCCAAATGAGTGAAATGCTTTTTAGGCCGGAAATTCCCTGCGAAATGTTTCAAAACAGTGTAGGCCTAGTTCGTCCCAATTCCGGATAGATCTTGCTGGGATATGAATCACCCATTCCGCCACCTTGCTGTCTATCGTTTAATTTGGAGAAAACAACGGCACATCAGGGTATTTGTTGCATCTACCGCTATCATAACTTGCACATAACTATTTATGTGCTCCTGGGGGTCAGACTCCCCGTCGTACTTTGGACAAATGGGACTTTAAACCCCACTGGGTACGGCGGAAAACACTTTCAGAGCAAGGGGGGTGTTGGTACGAGTTGTGAAAACCCATCAATGATTAACCTTACACTGCATGTCTTGGATCTGCTGTCAGAGATCTTGAATATCCCCCTGCTCTGGTGCCACATGTCCAAGGCGTTGATGGGTTGGGACACTTAGTCAGCTCTAGACTTCCTTTCCATCTGCTTAGTTGCCGGGAGGTTCCTGATTTCTCCCAAAACATAGCTGAGAACGGGGAGTGTGCCGGGGTGACTCCACTCGGCTAGCTTGGGGCTGTTCCCAGCCTATTGGGGCCCTCTCCAGATTCCATCCCAACCTTTCACTGACAAGTACTCGTCCTCGGGACATCCTCTCGAACACTGTGCCCCTCAGGTTTCGAGTCTCCACATTAAGTGGCTGGCTGATAGCCCGGAGACCTCCTGGTGCCCTATTCGTTGTACGGGGGCGAGTGTCGTTCTCTCTACTGTTTCGCGCCAACTCCTTCTCTTGGCACCTAGCAATCACTTACCTTTCTCTCTCGATCTCCTCAAGATCACGAAGCTCACGCAGGATAGGACCGGATTGCCTTCCCGCAATGCGCAAAGGCTGGCGCGGCTGCTCCACTGGTTAAGCCTTTCCATTACATTCGTCATCATGTTAGTGTTGTTGTTCAGGGCCAGCTCCAACTTAGGGGTTGGGAGAACTGCTTCTTGTTCTAGCCTTTGGCCCCTGCAAACGACTACTAGGAGTTGGCAGCGTTGCGTCTGGAATTTCTAGTTCTTCGTAAAGCAATTTTCTTAGTGTTTTTTCACAATTTGTCTCTCAATAAAAAAACCAATGATCAGATTTAGCCCAACAACTATGGTCGTACGAAGAACTAGTATCTAAATACGAATGATATAAAATGAAAATATTAGCTTGATTTAGCTTGGGTTACTATGGAGGATTCATGTTAATTTACAGTCTAACGCTAATGCTTGCATGGTATGTAATTCGTGCGCTACATTATTAGACTAATTGACTATTGTGCGTTAATTGTGGGCAAGAAATCAATCATCAATCACCCCCAATCTCATAATCAAGGGGATTTCACTTGCCTTATATTTCACGATCCACCTTGATGGGCTAGGCTTGGCCCATTACTTCATTCAGTCCTTTGGTTCGAGTTATCCTTTGTAATCCGAACATGCCCTCCATCTTCATTGGGCTCAGAATAACGTACTTGGGCCTTTTCAGCCCACTTTATGAACCCGATATCCATCTAACTGTTTTATTTACTTTTTAGAACAATCAAATATCATAGGAGGGCCAAGGAGCGCTACTAGATCTGGCCTATTTTTAATATATATATATATATATATATATATATATACACACACACACACACACACACACCTGTGTGTGTGCGCGTGTGTGTGTGCGTGCGTGCGGGCCAAATACACTTGAATCGTATCCTAGTCAAATACTCTAGGACAGAGGTAGTTCTAGGATGCCAATACACTTTGAATCGAATGAAGAAGATGAAGAGAAGGAGAGAGTAAAGTTGAGAGCTAGAGAGAGAAAGGATGTATGAGAAACGATTTCGTGATAACACTCTGTGTCTCTGTGAATAAATTTTCACGGCAGTGGAATATACATTAATAGTTCAGAGTATGTACAGATACAGAGAATAAATGAAAAATAAACATTAGAGCCTAAAGTTTGGATCAAGTGAACTGTGTGAACATTAATATATGACACTGCATCAAATATTAATCATGCTCCACAAGTTCACAAGCTAACAATCGAGGCCAATTTATATTCGTAGTGCTCTACATTTTGAAACAATTCCATAATTAGTTTTTTTGTACCAAATATGAGCAAATATTTTTTTCACATTTAGTCTCCAAAAGACTGATTATAAAATAGTATAAAAAATTGAACACAACAAATGTAATATCTTATAATTAGGGATTAAATATAGAAAATCATAGATACCATTTATAAATTTTACTCCAAATTAGTGTTCAAAATGTTTAAAAAGTTAACCAAAAAAGTCAATGTGATTTTTATTTGTGAGAGAGAATATAACACATGATTGGGAAGCCCAAAGCGTAGCCGAGTGAGTATTGATTGGTCTTTTGACGAAACATTAGATATCTTTGGGTGAACTTTCTATTTGGCTCAATTTGGATTCATTCCTGAAAAGTTTGAGTTAGCAATTACTCTGTACTATCCCGTACAACAAATTGGATCCCATAAGAGTATGTTTTGGGCTCCCTAATAGAAAGTAGGATCATGCTACACTTACACTAAAAAATATACCCCATTTGTACACCGCAGGTTTGCACAAACATTTCGATGGTTTACACCGACACAAGTGTTGGTGCGTTAATAAAAATTCACACGGACACAAATGTTGGTGCGTTTAACAAAAATTAGTTTTACACCAACACAAAGTGTTGGTGCAAAACTACGGGGTACAAATTGGGGTACAAACCTTGGGGTACACATAGCATAATCCTATAAAAATGCTTCATGTAAAAAGCGAATGTATCCGGTGCCAATGTTATATAAAAAAACCAAATTTAAGCCAATACATAAAATTAGAAACACTTCAATGTTATTCTAGAACTAGAATATGCAAATTCTGGAACTTAATATTAGAGACATATTCGAATACATGGCAAAGAGTTGCATCATATAGAAGTGGATGATGCTTTATCCTTCTGTGTAGCAAGAACTCTTCTCTTCATTATTATTGCCTTTGCTTTTCCCACCATATCCATTTTGAAAGATTCTTTCCTCTGATGGCAAATTCTTTGTGTTCTTGCTGCCCTCAACTTTCCATGGACCTAAAATTGGGGTTTTAGGTGGAGCAGTTGCTTCTGCTATTGGTGCCACCAGTCCTGGTTTCCCATCATCAATTACTGCGTCGACTAGCCCATACTCTTTTGCTTCCCAAGGATTCATAAAATTATCACGATCCGTATCCACTTCAATCTGCAGAGGTAAAATATAATGTTTAACAGCAGAAGCAATGGATATAGAGACTGTTTGTGAAACTACCTCTTGTTCAGGCTTTCCGGTTACTCTTGAAAATATTTTGTTCAGCTTGACCCTGTGGAATGCCATTTCTCGTACTCGTATCATCATATCGGTTGCCTGGAACGCTCAATAATTCATAGGACGAAACATATTTCTTGATACACTATAATCTAATGCAAATAACGATTTGAATGTCTCCAAAAAATCAATGAACGAATAATCTTGAGAATACAGATATTGAAATGACCGAGAAATCCACTAAGAATTTGTGAAGACTTACATTGCCACCAGCTGTTCCGAGAGGTTGATGGATCATGACCCTTGCATTAGGCATGCAGTATCTTTTACCTTTAGTGCCAGTTGCAAGGAGAAATGCACCCATTGATGCAGCAAGTCCCAGACAGATGGTAGAAACGTCAGCCTTGCACTGTTTCATTGCATCATATATTCCCATTCCTATGTGCATATTCAATAAGTAATTGAGATCAAATTCTTATTCAACTAAAATCACGGTACGTAAATAATAGTAAGAAGTTCTAGAGTCTATGTTACGGAAATAAAATACTCCCTCCATCCCGACATGAACTTCTCACTTTCCATCTTGGTCCGTTCAAAAATGAACTTCCAGTTCCTTATTTGGCATATTTTTCATTGTTTAAAGTCATTTATACCCTTCCCCAAACCTATTGCCCCTGGGATTCATCCTCCCATCTTCGACCTCTCTCATCTAACTTCTCCTTCATTGATGATGGACGTCAATGGCATCGACCTGCGATTTCGCAACGATGGACCTCAATGGCAATCGACACCGGCGACACTGGCAGGTTTCCACCGTGCATTCCAGTTTAATTTTCTCTAGGATGGTAGATTTGGAAAGTCAATGGTTTTTTTTACAATCCTTAATATGCGTGCCCAGTAAACTTGAGAGATTCAAATCCGCAAGGAGGAAGTAGGAAAATGCAGCCTCTTACATAAATGAAGGGTAGTGTTAGCCTACATTATACCCTTGTGGTGGGACCCTTCATTGAACCCTCACTAAACAGGTTAATGTGTGATGTTAATGAGATTTTAAAATTATGTACTGTAAAAATTAGAAAGCTTACGCAGTCAGAAAATGATGTGAACAATTGTTAGAGAAAAAAGAACAGTGTAAATAACGAAATAGAGAGCCATCCAGTTAATAAAGAAATATAGAGCGATTTAGTTAATAAAGAAAAGAGTAAATTCCATAAACAGACCCTAATTACAGATGGTTTTCCATATTTATAGTCCCCAATTCTTAGATACTCCATAAATGGTCCTCAATTTTTGAAAACTATTCCATAATTAGTCCTTCAGGGGCTATTTGTGGTAAAAATATTTTCTCAGATTTGGCCTAAAGGACCATTTATGAAATAGTTTTCCAAAAATTGAGGACTATTTATAGAATATCTAAAACTCAGGGACTAAATATGGAAAACCACCCGTAATTGGGGACCATTTATGGAATTTACTATAAAGAAAAAGAGATCCATTTATTTAGTTTAAAAGAGAACCTAAAAATAATAGCAACACTTGAATCTGGAAACAGAAATTGATAATGCATTAAATTTTTAAAAAATTATGCCTAGTCTTTAGCTTTAATTATACGCAAATCGACCAATGTGATGGCATTTAAGAGCTCGTGTATTCAGAGGTATTTACAAGTTAGGAGTAAAGAGAGTGAGAATTATGGTGATACAAAAAAGCATATCATACCGGCAGTTACAGAACCACCAGGTGAATTTATGAACAGTCTGATGTCCTTTTTGGAGTCTTGAGCATCGAGTAATAATAGCTGGCATATGACAAGATCTGCAGTTGCATTATCCACCTGTCAACCACCAAAAACTTTCTGATGGGTTATAGGTATACCAAAGGCATAGGTTAGAGCCTATGTATTGACTAAAGCAAATCCTATTCAGTTTATGATTGTTTGTCCTAGTCCTGGTGAGTTCAGGATTACTAATCCTAGACGTAGTTAGCTTGAAACTATAACTAAGACATTACCTCTAATTCATTGGAATATTGGCCATTAGATAATACATTTCAACTCAATTTCAGCTTAATTGCTACGAATCATAATTTCTAACCTATGAAATTTATTGGCTTAACAATTTGCATGAGAGCATTAAAAATTCAACCCGGTCTTGTGATCCTCCTGTATGTGAAATTCCGGCGGCAAAAGAAAATAAAACCAAGTAATTTTTTCAATTCTTGGAGCAGTCGGTCGGTGATCTACAATCTTCAACTGAAACATTCTTACATAATATGGAACAAAATGCTAGAACTCCAACTAAAAAGACATAGGTCTATTTTCTCTTCTTCTCCATCTATTGAAACACTGATTAACATTTCTCATCATCTTTAAATTCATCCAGAGGAATAGACTCATCAAGGAGACAGCTCATCAGAACAAGATCTAGCTAGGTGAAGAGGCAAACCCCACCACTGAGAAGTCCAGATGCAGAAGATTTGGGAGCAAGAAATTTGAAAAGATAACTGAAGCAATCTTGACTTCCCAAAAATCATAGGGGAAGAGAAACAAGTTTGGCTTGACAGAGCTACTCGTTAGTTCAAGGTCATGGCTATTCACGGGTCAGAGAAAATAAGTCTAGCCACATTCTATCTCGAAGGAGAAGCAAACGAATGATGGACATAGTAATCTCTAACTGGAAAAACATATCGCACGAAAGAAATTTGAAAAAGGGGCTCCTTTTACATTTGGGGAGGAGCTTACGAGGTAGTGAATAAAGTGATGCACAAACTTAAGCAGCAAGGTGACTAGCTTCAGATATTATCTACGAGAATTTGAAAAGTTGATGAATCAACTACCACACTCGCTTTAAAAATCCAGTATGTTCTTTTCAACTTACAAGTCCAGGTATCTGGATATCAGACTCTAGTTTCAAGTCTCTAGATATGGGTACGAACTACGAAGTAGCTAGTTCTAGCTTCCAGGCGCCATATAATAATTTGACTCATATTGCAAGTAATAGCTTTCAGTGTCACCCTCCACACTAAAAGACGAGATCACAGAGATGTGAGATTAATGAAGTCAAATAACTTGCAAAAAGCCACAAACATATCCAAAATTTAAAAACAAACATTTTTTTGCAATGAAGTGGTGTAAATGCAACTGGGAAGTGGCTATCAAGGCTGCAACAACCAGCATCTATGCCCACAGTCACAATGACCAGCACGCTAAATAGAACACAAACAAGGTTGACATGAACTGAATGCAACAAAGTGAAAAAGAATTTGGCTGGAACTATGATGAGAAATTCGTGCTTGGACACAAATGTAAGCTACAACAAGCGCTTGTGATTGAGATTAAGGAAGGTTCAGAAGGAAAGCAAAGCATTTCCAATGGTAAAAGAAAATGATATGATAGTTTCTTGAAGTGCTTTAGTACGGGGGAAGAAGGGGCAAATATTGAGAATGAATGGTTGGACCAGAGGAGCAGTAGTCTGTGTTAATCGAGTGAAGATCAAGTTTGAACTTCATATACCCTTACTTAGCTAGAAACCTTAGGCCCACAATTGGCCAAGTTAAGTCCTTTTTGTTAGAGTTAGCAATGGTGACATATTGGAATGCAAAGAAAGGTTTGTAGATGTTTTTTTTTTATCTTTTTTAAAGTTGTAAAGCAAGATTGCAAGGACATCAATTCAGAATGGAATTATTCTCCCCGCCATTCGAGGGACGAAATTGTTCTTGGGGTTCCTAGGCTAACTTAAAATGGACTAATTATCGGCTTATTGCATATGGTAAGCACCATTTGCAATAAGGTTAAAAAAAAACCTTCTTAAAGGGCTGTTCAATTAAACTTGAATCGAGTATTATTCAATTCAGTTCAGTACCATTCATTTCAATTCAGTACTGCTTAATTCATAATTACACTACAAATACAATCACTTCAGTACAATTTAGATCAAGTTTTAAAAGGCAAAATCTAGCCTCAAGAAGGTGGAGCACTTTAGAGTGAGACATAGGTCTCAATTTGATTTGACCAAAATTTGTAAAATCACTCTAGGTAAAAAAAATGCTCATAATCATATCAAATAGAAATCCGAAAAACCCTACATAGTTTGTATTGAAAACTAAAAAAGGCATAGTAGATAGGAAATAAGATGATCATGATTCATGAAAACATGGCAAGTCTAAAATTATAAGCACATCATATGAAATAGTAAAAGAATAATATAAATTCTATCACTATTACTGGATTTGTAAATTTACTAACTTACTATAAATAAAATAAGTTCATAAACCAACTTCTAAGAAGTAAAATATTATATAGCAAGAACAACAACCCGGTAGAATCCCACGAGAGTATGGTCTAAGGAGGGTGTGTGTACGCTAACCCTACCCCTACTCGAAAGTAGAGACCAAAAGAAACCCCAACTCGAGAAAAAACATGATCCACAAAGAGGAAGGGGCACAACAAAATAAGCACCTTGCAAGTATAAAGAAAGGAAAGAAACACACAACGAAAAAAACAGAGAAACAAAAACCATCACACAAAGAAGCACGCAATAACAAGTGCAGAAAACTACTACTAGGTCTAAAGGCCTACCCAACTATCCTAGTCCTATTTCTCTAGATGCTCCTATCTAAGGTCATATCCTCCGTAAGGCCCAAAAGTCTCAGGGAATGCCAAATCACCTCCTTCCAGTTTCAACGGCCACAAACTGAGTGTGAAAACAGATTTCAACCACAAACTGAGTGTGAAAACAATTTTCAGAGAGATTTAATAAAATGGAGTGTGTGTGTGTGTGTTAAGAACAACAAAAATAAGGAAAAAAGGTTTGGTGTTGGCTTGATGTCCTAATGCAAGGAATTAAAAAGTAAAAGTAAAAGATGAAGCAATTAGAAGAAGAAGAATGACCCAAGTGATGAAAGACATGATCGTATGAATATAGCTATGATTAGGAGTGTTCCAGCGATTAAAGAAACATGTGGCGGTGAAGACAAATTAATGTCTTTGTACGTTGCCAACTGTTGTGGGGAAAATGAATATCAATGTGCATGTTCCCGAGAGAGGGAAGTAGCATAGCTAGATCTAGAGGGAAGAGCTAGATACTCAGGGAATCTAGGTTTCTTACTTTCATTTTATTACAGAGTAATATATAAGGTTTATAAAGGCTAATAATAGAACAAAATAAACAGTTTATACGTTCAAACTTCAAACACTAGATTTCTTTAACAAAAGACCCAATATTTTTTTTTACAAATAACCCATTGCAGCAATGAATCTCTTAATAACACTAAAGCTTAAGCCTCGCCCCCGCCTTACACCTCATGACATTGGGTATAAGTCGTTAATATAGGAGATGAGGCTTAAGCCTCTAAGACTAAAAAGCTTAGCCTCTGTGCCTCAAGGAAGTACGGCGCGAACACCTTTGAAAAAAAATTATTAAGATAAGCTATATTGAACGACTTCTAATTAGAATTACACGGGCTGGTTTTAGATTGGAAACAATGTAAAAAACTATCTGTTTGAAAATAAAAGAAAAAAAGATGATGAAGAAAAAACACGTGATTGAGCAAGTGCTAACTGAATCAAAGGCATTCTTGAGGAAACAAATGAGCTAACACCAACTAGAGTTTATGGTCATTATATCCATCTATAAGAAACCTTGATAAATGCAAAAAAAAAGTTCATCAGTTATAAGAAATTCATCAAGAAGCATTAAAAATATAAAATATTCAAGTTGCAATGACAAATTAATGGCAAGAAAACCCATGCATGCAACGGAGATGAAAAAATCAAGTAGCACATAAGTGAAAAAACCTAACAAATAAGGGGGGAAAAGGAAAAGGGTAGTAACAAAACATATCACTTAGGTTGCTATAAGCAAAAATAAAAAAACAAAGGGAAAGCAAGTCGGGGTATAATAACACGCTGAGTAGTGGGTCTTCGCAAGAAAGCTCACCAGGAAAAAATGACGAACCCAATAAACAAAAAAACTCAACCCATAAGCAATAATTCCATTAGAAAAAGAGAATGAGAGAAAATATGCACCATAGTCAGTTTCACACTTTCTCTTAGAAGAGAGAGAGAGAGAGAGAGAGAGACCAACACTCAGAACCTGTTCTTTAGAGCTTGAACTCTTAACTTCCAGTTTCTTACCGTTCTTCGAGTTTCTTCAAGTTCTTACCTGTGTTTTCCAGTTTCTTCCAACTATTTTTATTTTCTTTTAACTCTTTCTACATTCCCGACAAATCACTCTAAAAACGATATATTATTACTATTATTACAACTATTATGTTCATAACTATAGTTTATAAATTATTTCATTTTTTTCATCTCACTATTTTTATGGTTCACAATCATTGTTATTTTTTCTTCAACGTTTTAATATAAACAATACCATTTTTTTGTATATTAATCTACATGATAAAATAGGAAAACATTGATATTTTAAACTATTTAAAATTATGGATAGAATAGTTACATAGAATGTTTTTTAGTATTTTAAAAACTATACTCCATACTAGTATCTTCAATTAAGCTTAACTAGTTAACTGCATTGTAGAATATTAATTGCTATTTCATCTCTAAACTGCTTCATTGCATCTTTAGTTTGTTCATCAAACATCACCTTGGCCTATCTTTTGTTGTTTAATGCCTCGCTGAAATTGGTATTCCTTTTCGATGAAGACAAATAAAATTGCGCAAAGTGTGTGTTGCAATAACAATTTGAATTTGGTGCTCCTGTTTCATTTGAGACAGCCTATAGTGCAAAAGTAGTTTTTTTTGTGTATGAAAAATAACAATATTTTTTATCTTAAAGGCATTCATTAAGATAACGTGATGACAACAACAACAAGAATAATAATAATAACAATAATAATAATAATAATAATAAATAACAACAAGAACTAGAATGATAATAATATAAAAATACACAAAAAAATTAAATTCTTTTTTTAGATTTTCTAATTTTTTCTAGTTTTTTCAGTTTCTTTTAATCTTTTTTGAGTTTCTTCTAGTTTCTTCCAGTTGCTTCCAATTTCTTCCAGTTTCTTTCAGTTCCTTCCAGTTTCTTCCAACATCCAGCTATTTTTTCAGTCTTAAAGAACAGGCTCTCAATAGTCTAGGATTACAGCCAGTTATTAGGTACCAAGTACCCTATATATTTTTAAAATTTGCTAATTGATTGGATTAATCTAACCTTACACTTAAAAATGTGAGGAAAAAAATTTTGTTGTGCCCATATACACCTCGCTGCGTACACCCTGAGGCGTATGCTGAGTGCACAATTGCTGAGAAAACTAGATACTTAGATAGTGCATGGCTTGATCACCATGAGGTGATTCTTTCCAGAAAAAGACCTGATGAGCACCATGTCACCATGAGGCAGGATTTAGCCTCACCATTTCTTACAGAGTTATTGTTCACCATAGGAGGTTAAGAACACGCTTACTCCTTAGTTCAAGAGGATATTTGTAGCACAACAAATTTGGGGTACTAAGTACATACAAACTTCAGCATGTAAATGATATTCGGTAGATATAGGCCATGTTCTCACTCTAAGTGTTAGTCATTATATGTTGTATTAGTTGTTTGGGGATGTTTCTTTCATTTGTTTGTGACAGAACTTTGGGGAAAATCTTCTAGGCAAGATGAGCTATTTGTATCTTTCAAGTTTTTGAGCTAAAAATTGTTCTATATCCATCAATTCGTCTACAAAATAGGTTAGAGAAATGAGCTCTTTGTTTATAATCACCAAAACCTGTTCACCAAAACACTTCTACACTGCTAATAGAATTGACTAATCTTTTTTATCAAAAGCTCTCCAATCTTCTTTGTCACACACCCTATAGTCATAACTCATAATAAAAAAAATCAAACAGAAAATACCCATGAACGGAATTGAAGATTCAATACAAGGATAGAGGACCTGAGAACCCAAGAAGACGATTCTTTGACGAAGAAGCATATTGGTAGTCTCCAGTTCTTCAAATGCGGGCAGCCAAGAAGGAGCTCCAGAGTAGTTGAGAACATCCCAGTTGCTTGAAAGGGTATGCCTTGCGGTAGAAAAATTCTGCGCTCTTGCTTTCACTGACAATCTCCTTTTCCTTAAGCGCAGCGTGATCTCTGATTGGAAAAAATCGTTGTTGGTCGGAGGAATGGAGCAAATGGAATGCAGCAAATTTCTGGGTCTTGATGTTGAATAGGGCGTGGAGAACGTTAGACAACCGCTCTCCATATCAGTCTTTTTATGTTTGGACAACCTAAAATCCAACCAAATGCTATTTCCAGGGCGAAGGGAACTTCTTAAACTAATGAATCCGGCTTTCCCCAGTTGGTATATGGTACATTAGGATGTACCTAGAAATAGGTACATCCCGGTACTACTCATTATAAAATATAGTATTTATTTTCGTACAAATATAAATATTCATTTCGAAATACGTAATACTCATTCTAGCAAAAGTAATACTCATTTTAGAATAAAGAAGTACTCATTTTTACACATTTGTGCAATATTAATTTACAAATAACCGAATACACATTCTAAAAACTAGATGTACTCATTCCCACTTAAACCAGTATTCATTCTTGCCCTAACCGAGGATTCCAATCATCATCACCTGCAAAACTCCATCATCACCAGTCTTCCTTCTTCTTCTTCTTCTTCACCGCAGCAGAGACTCCATCATCATCACCAGTCTTCCTTCTTCTTCTTCTTCTTCATCACCGCATAATCTCTGCTGCAGAATCATCAGCAAAACCCCACCATCATCATCATCGGTCTTCCTTCTTCATCACCGATCATCATCATAGATCCGCACATAATTCCAGATCCGACTTCTGATCGACCAGCCTCCTTCATCGCATGTTTCTTGCGCTTCCTTTCGCCCTATTTAACGCCGGCTGTGTACAGCCGTATGTATAATATAATTTGCGGGCTTTCCCCTTTTTATGTTTTGAGTTTTGCCACGGAAATCAGGTAAGAATTTAAGGAAAAGGGCATGTTCGAATTTAGGTGAACCACGTAGGTTCCATTTATGTGAAATGACAGAAAGACCCTTCCAACCAAGCTACATAAATTCACTAACTGTTTAAAAATTTAAGGGAAACCTTAAAATAACGACTCAAAAATTTATAAAAAATTTTCTTAACAATAATTCATAGTTTTCGACTTTCGTATGGCGATCTTGGGTGGTAACGACGATTGGATATAAAATTTTGTTTTCTGATGTGCTATCCATGCGTGGTTACTCAATAGTACAGTACTTTGAAGAAGTTCAAGAGGACCAAGACTTAGTGGATTTGGAAATCCTTAAGGATAAGCCTTATGGTACTAAAGTAGGAAGTTCCCGAACCAGTATAAAATTGGTGTGTCATTTACTTTACGCTTTTATTTCTACGTTTTGTTTATTGCTTCCGCATTTGCCAACACCAATTTTATCAAACTCCAAAAAGTTTTTAAGCGTCTTATTCACCCCCCCCCCCTTTAAGGCGTGGGTACAACAACTAACAACCCACGCACTGAACACTAGAAGGTCATAGTCCGAGTGATGAGATACCTTCGGTATATGCAAAATTATAGCTTGTGTTATGGTAGAAACATGTGTATGGTATATCTTCGTTTACACAAATGAACCTACAAGGAGTAGGTTCAAAGGTATGAAAGCCCACCTATTCTTGCAGTCTTTCAACTATAGAGTTATTGCCAAGCACATGAATCAATTTTCATTCATGTGGGGAATTGTTAGAATTTTTAGCTTATAACTTGACTACTTTCGAAGTAAATTTGGTGGGGTCGACAAAATCATTTCCAAAATAATTATGGACAAATAATCTCCTAAGTGAGACGAGTGTTTCGACATACTATGCGCCAAAAATGGTGCTCGGTAGAATGAGAAATTAATTCACAAAGTCAGACACTTGGAAGGAGGAAGCCCATGTATCCCACATCGGTTTTGGACCTTTCATCTTCCACTATGTATATGTTAGCATTAAGTTGTATGGTAAAAGCAATTTGAGGAGGAAGGAAAGGACCCCTCATGCACCGCCGTCTATCGGTCTAGCTCGGCTCAACACGTCACGACACGCATGCGTGCGTGCAAACGCAAATGCATGTTGGCGTGTGCGTGCGTGTGCGCGAGGCATCTTGGCGAGGGCATGAGCGGACTCTTATCTTATTACGAGACTGGATTAAACACGAGATGAAGGTTGTTGATAACAAAGCATGCATGCAGTGTGAAAAGTCTCCGGAGACTCTTCGTGTTGTCCGTTGGCCCATACGAACAACCAAAGCCTCTTCTATATAAGGAAAGGCTAATTGCAATGGAGGAAACACAAACTCGAAAATCTTCTCTTTACGTTCCAACTTTCATAAGTTTTAGTTCGTTGGTGCACGGTTTTACCGCTCTAGGCCTTGCACGTTAGTGGTTTTATCCTGGGAGGTGGGCGATACTACCTTAAGGAAAGCTCCGCCAACTCCGCTATGCTTATGCATGTTCGACTTCCGACTACTGGTGTCTTTTTATTCTATTTAATTTTATACTCCCTCCGTCCACAAATAAACTTCCCGTTACGCGTTACGATGTTTGACTGAAATTATTTTCAAATCATTTTATATGAAAAATAGTGTAAAATTTAAAAATAAAAATTACATATTAAAAACTATATCAAAAGATCTACAAAACTAGAGGTGACATGACTATATTATTTTATCAAATGGGTGACGAGAATATGCCAACAAAGTGAATAAAGTTTGACCCTATGAATAGTGAACGAGAAGTTTATTTGTGGACGGAGGGAGTATTTTTTAATTTCTTTGTTGTAAAACCCAAACATATTATAAGCTCGGGTTATACCCTTTCATTTTTTCCCCCGTCGTAAACTATAGCTCAACACCCGTGTCTCAAAAATATATATATCTTGTCATGGTTGGTTCGTCGAGGACAAGTTCCCATATTCTAATCTCTCATCTATCCCGCCATCCTCTTGTATCACACCTATTTTTTCACTGTGTCCAAGCTCACATGCTCAAGTATCGTCTAGCCAAACTGTGCCCCTAACCATTAAGACTTTAAAGCTCTAGATGAGGTGAGGTCGACGGTCGTGAGTGTATGCTAACACGAATCTGGTTTTGTTCACACGGATCGTAGTTTTGCATTGATAAGAACACATAATTTTGGAAAGGACCTTTTACAACGGTTGTTTTGAAACCGACCCAGAAAATTTGAAAAGCTTATAGCGGTAAAGGGTTTGCAAGCATGAGAAGAGGTCTTAAACAAGCATTGTGAGTGCCTTTGGATCATGTAGGCAGCTAGAAAGCGAGGAGGTCAAGATTGATTGAAGTGAAGTATCACAATGATTATTATGCATTGGGAAGACAAAAAACCCCATGTCACATGCACAATTTATATTGAATTTAAGATTTCCTCTTATTGTAATGCTCATTAAATTTTTTTATTTCTTTTATGACCCACTTTAATCTGAAACCACATTAAAAACTAAAAGGGTTTGTATGGGTATTTTGAGGGTGCCCGAAATACTAATGGATTATTAAGCCAACATACCCAGTTCATGATATTACGAATATGGACAATGTCGGGGATGCTTTGAAGGATTGAGTGCGGGTTGAAGCGCACGATGACCTAGGCAAGTAAAACTCGACTCAGAAATGAGGTACATCCTGTTTAATCCAAGTGCAGCAGAGAGCATGATTAAAAGGAACATGGTGGATGTAATCAAGGCAACGACGATCTTATCATCCCATTATTCCATCACTCCCATGAAGGCAGGCATGATGGTGGGTGAAGCTCCCCCCTCCCCCAACAACAACCTACTTGGATCTCAGGAAAGTAGGATCTGGGGTGCATTACTGGTGTGGGGAAAAGTTCTCATAGTGCATGACATGCAAGTACTCATGGATGAATAAACCTACATCTAACAACTACTCTCTTTGTTCTAAAAAAGAGTTTTTAGTTTGACCAGGTGTAAGATGTAAAAGTAAGATGTAATAGATAGATTATTAGAAAAAAAGTATGATGTGATAGGTAGGGTATGAAAAGGTAAGTGTAAAACTAATTTTTTTTAATAGAAAGTGAAAGTGTTTTGTTGGAAATGGACTAAATGAAAAAAGAATTTTTTAAGAACGGAGTAAGTATATAAGTTAGGGTAAACAATTGCTTTTACTCTCTATATCTTACATTGTCGCGTAAATGACAATAAAGCAAAGCAATACTGCTTCTTTCCATTTGATTTTTTTTCGTTTAACTTTAATGTTTAATATTTTTAAATTTTAATTACAAACTATGAAAAAGTACTTTGAATTGTGATAATACTTTTAAATTTAATATTGATAAGTTAAATGGAAAATATTATATTTGTATATTTCGTAATAAATCTATTAATAAATTAAGATATTCATAAAAATATTTTATTAAAAACAGTAAAAAAAATCAAACTAGATAAGAGGGAATACATAATTCATTAAAATCACAGTTTTCTCATCCCGAAATTAGAAGTGGACCCAAATGGCCCCGTATTCGAGGCTGGCGTAAAGTAGCCAAAGCTCTTCCGATTATTGTATCGGTTGAGCTTTACCGGCCCACTCCTCTGTGTGTCTGTCTAACACAACAAAACACACACACACAATTGCGGGATTGGATCAGGTCATGTCTCATCTCGATCTTCTCTTCCAAGCTCTTTTTTTGCTGTCCTAACTAATAATCCATTTGCTCAGACGATCCCAAGAACAGAAAGAAATTAAAGAAAGAAATGGCGTTCGAACTCTGCACAGGCGGCGCCGGCGGCGATCCCAGTTTGGGTCAGATAATAAGTCCGAGGATATCTTTCTCCCACGATATTCCCCAAACCGGATTCGTACCGGTCGAGCAGTACGTCCGGTCGTCGTCCAGCACCTCCAGCATGGATTTCGACTTCTGCGTCTTCCGCCAAAGCTTCGACCTGCAGCAGGATAATTCATCCTCCTCAGCCGACGAGCTTTTCCTCAATGGAAAAATTCTCCCCATCGAGATCAAGAGGAGGATCGGCCCCGCCCCCACCACGCCGCCGCCTCCAGCAATATTAATCCCCCCCGCGCCGGTAACGAAACCGGCCGGACAAAAGCAGCAGGGCAGTTCATCAAAGGCGGCGGTGTTCTGGAAAATCAAACGCAGTTCCAGTTTGAATTGCGGGAGTGGATACGCCAGAACTCTTTGTCCTCTCCCCCTGCTATCCCGGAGCAATTCTACAGGTTCGTCTTCCCCAATCCCGAAGAGAACATTATACAGTAGCAGCAGCAGGAGCAGCAGAGATGCGTTTAACCCCATACCCCAAAACAACAACAAATCTTCTTCAACCAAACAGAAGCCACCTCTCATGAAATCCCAGCAGGCAAGTAGTAGTAATAGTAGGAACAACGGGGTAAGGATTACCTCGGTCTTGAATGTCTCTGCGTCAAGTCTGTTTGGTATGGGTTCCATGTTCTCTCATGGCAATGGCAGAGATAAGAACAAGAAGAAGAAGTGATAATGGTCAGTGATTTCCCATTATTTTAAAGGGATTGTGTTTTCCAGCAACATTTCAAACCGATTGTTTATCACTTGATTTCCCCATTTTTTAAAACGGATTGTGTCTTTGAGCAACATTTCAAACCAATTGTTTATTATTCGCCATTTAGTACGTACTCTTTTTTCTAGAGCAAATTCTACTCATCCCCTCCAAAAAAATGTTTGCTATATTTCCTTTTTTAACTATTGCGAGAACTTTTGTTTATTTGTACATTTTTATTAAATATTTGATAAAATAAAATATTTTTAATAGCTCTTATTTTGAAAAAAAAAATTCATCTAATTTTTAAATATGTAATTTTATTTTTTATTTTTATACTACTCCCTCCGTCCAAGAATAATTTTCTTATTCTACACTTTTCTCCGTCCGAAAATAATCTTCCCATTCTACTCTTTAATCTCAATTCTTCCAAAAATACCCTCCTTATTCTCATTTTCTTCCACTCTTTCAGCTTTTCCTTTTTTTCCTCGGCCAGGCCACCACCCCTCTCCCCTTTTTTTCTTTTCTTTTCTCCTTATTCTCTCTCTCTCACCCTCCCCTTCTCTTTTCTCCTGGGTTTGTTCTTCTCCTTCTTCTTCATTTCTTCTTCCACTCCGTTCTCTCTCTCTCTCTCTCTCTCTCTTCCCCCCTTCTTCTTCGTCTTCTTCTTCTCATCCTCAACCTTGTTCTTTTTCTTTAGATCTACGTCTTTGTGCCCCCCCTTTTCTTTTTCTTCTTCTTCTTCTTCTAGATTTGTGCTAGCGGCCATAATAGAGCTGATGGGGGCGGTGAGAGCTAGATCTGGTAGATCTGTACTAGATCTTTTTCTTCTCGGTTTTCCCTTATTTTTGTGGCGAGGGATGAAAGAGATGGTGGGCGCTGGGGCTGGGGCAGTTGTCACCGGTGAGTCAACAGTGGATAGTGGAGCGGCAGTGGTGGCTGGGGCAGCGGTGGGCAGCGGCGGCGCTGGGCTGGGGCGGCGGTGGGCTGGGCAGAAATTCCAAAACAAAGTGGGGCGGCGGTGGGCTGGATAGTGGTTGGGTGGACGGCAGTGGGCTGGGGTGTTTTGGTAGGATACTGGTTGGAGCTTAACCAAAAGATATGGGGGTATTTTGGACATTTTAATATCAAAGTCAAGACTCACTAAAAATGACCAAAAGTCAAACTAGGAAGATTTTTCCCGGACAGAGGGAGTAATATTTAAAGAAAATGAATTGATAAAATTAATATTTTGCCTCGTTTTTCGAAATATGATAAACATTTAGGGATGGAGGGAGTATAATTTTTTTGTTTTGGCTTTACTTGTAACTTAAGAAAAAATGAAAAATGTTTTGGTTTTACATATTTGCCCATGGGTCATTGCAAAAAGTGAAATAAAATGTAGGTATGGATAATAAATACCGGAGTAATGAGTTAAAATGATGCAAGTAATGTGGTTTAAACAAAAAGTATTTCATAAAAATGAAACTAGAATATAATTTATGGACGGACAAATAAGAAAAGTATAAAGATAAATCATGGGCCGAGGGGCTATAATGGTCATTTACTCCCTCCCTCCACAAATAAACTTCTCGTTTACTATTCACAAGGTCAAACTTTATTCAATTTGTTGGCCTATTTTCGCTACCCATTTGGTAAAATAATATAATCATATCACCTCTAGTTTTGTAGACCTTTTGATATAGTTTTTTAATATATAATTTTTATTTTTAATTTTTACACCATTTTTCATATAAAATGATTTGAAAATAACTTCAGTTAAACATCATAACGCGGAACGGAAAGTTTATTTGTGGACGGAGGGAGTATAAAACTGAAGATTTCCATGTTTAGTCTTATACTCCCCGTTCTAAAACGTTGTTCACACTTACTATTCACATGTTCAAACTTTATTCACTTTTTTTACATATTTTCGTTACTTATTTGATAAAATAATATAATTTTGTCACATTTTGTTTTGTAGAAAGAAATTCTACAATGAGAAATACTTGGTGAACACCACTTGGGGAGTGAGAGTACAGCACATGTACACCAAGCCCAAAATAGGCACACACAGACACTTAATGTCTGTGCATGCACCGATATTAAGTGTCTGTGTGTGCCTATTTTAGGCTAGGTGTACATGTGGTGTACCCCAAGTGGTGTTCCCTAGCACTCCTTTTCTACAATATATACAACGTAACATTTGATTTGATTTTTATATACTCCGTACTACTTTTTCCGTCCCAAAATGATATTCCCTATTCGAGTGACATGTAAAATCTCGTGATTTTTAAAATGATTTTATTTACAAATTAGTTTAAAATTAAAAAATAAAACTTACATATTTAGAGATTATATTAAAGTTCTATAAAATAATAGATAATAAAAATGTTTTATTTTATCAAATATTTAATAAAAACATGCAAAAGAACGAAGAGGTATATCATTTATTATCGTGCACCTACCATTCATTCATTCTACTTTGGGGTATCAAACCTTTTTCATTCTTAGCTTATATACGAGAGAGTATTATCGGATAAGGAAAATGCTTGGTTCACAAACAAAATTGTTACAAACTTCAGAAACTTACTATTTGTGAACTTCAATAAATAAAATTAAATAGTCTAAACTAATTTTAAAATGAAAATTTAAACCATAAATATAGTAAGTTTGTGAAATTTGTGAGTATCCTGTTTGTGAACGTAACATTGTTCATCGGATAAAGCTAAACGTTGTGTTAGAATAGTATTTTCAAAAAGTTAAGGGTAAATGCTGAATCTGTTTCCAAATTAACGGCCCGCAAGATTATAGCTTTATTTCACCCACTTTAAGAAAATTATTAAAAAGCAAAAATTGTATGGTTAAAATTTGTTTAGTGTATAAAAATTATTGATAGTAAGATATTTTTTACCATAGTAGGCAATAAAATGTACTCTCTCCGTTTTCAAAAAGAGTTCCTACTTTGAAAAAGTGGAAAAATAAGGAAGTATTAAATTGTAGTTAACTTCCAATTTTGCCCTTGATGTGATGGGTAAAAGTAAGATGTGATGAGTAGATTATTAGAAAAAAAGTATGGTGTGATAGGTAGGGTATATGAAAAAGTAAGGGTAAAAGTGATTTTTTAAAAGAAAGTGGAAGCGTTTTGTTGGAAGTGATAAAAATGAAAGATGAATTGTTTTTGAGAACGAAGGGAGTATAGTTTTACTTAGAACATCCTTTTTATCCAAGAATGGGGCATAGTTGGCTCAGCAAGGATGATGAAAGACAATAACGTTCGAGTTTGATTTTTGATAACTGTACTAGAAAGCCATTATATTTAGCATAAGACGTTTACGAGTATCATACATTCAGTTTTTCTATGATTAAAAGTTAAAACTTTTTTTGTTCCCTTTCAAGAATTATTTAGAATTACTAGTATCACACCCGCGCGTTGCACGGGTCATATTTACGTTACTAAATTAAAATTATTGTTCAACAGCACGGATTTAAAAGTGCACTTGAAAGAAACTAATTACGAAAATCCTTGCAAATGATCGCATTTATACTATGAAAAGTTTTTGGCTTATTTTATTTTCCTTTTTCAGAATTTTTTTTAAAAATTACAATGTAGTACTTTCGGCCAAATTACACAGTTGGTGTTACTTACCATTTCAACATTCCTTTGTTAACTTAAATTTTTAATTATCAACGTGTATTTATGATTCTTTCTTACCAAATTGTATATAAGAAAAACACTTTATTTAAAATATCTATAAAGTATAAATGGAAATACAACTGTAATTTTAATTTGGATACTTTAAGGTAGATGAATATTTTTTGTTCAAGGAAACGTTTTCAATTTTTTTTTAAAGACAATAATTGTTTATACAGGGTAACCGCAATAAAGAACATATTTTTTTAATAATATTATTGTTACATTGCTTATAATGAAGTTACCTTATTTAAAATACGTATAAAGTAAAAAAAGGAAACATATTTATTTTTTGATCGGTTTTTGGTGTTTTTCTTACCACGTCAATATTCTATTTTTAACTTAAATTTTTAATTATCAACGTGTATTTATGATTCTTTCTTACCAAAATCATGCATAAAGAAATCACTTTATTTAAAATAACTAAAAAATATAAATGCAAACACAACTGTGATTTTAATTTCGATACTTTAAGGTATGATATTTTTTTTCAAGGCAACACTTTCATGTTTTTTTCAAAGACGGTAATTTTTTATACACGGTAATCACGTAAAAGGAACCTACCTTTTTTAATATTACTATTATTACCTTGCTTATAATAAAATTGCCTTATTTAAAATACGTACAAATTAAAAACAAAAAGATAAATATTTTTTGATCGATATTTTTTCATACTGTCATTTCAATTTCCAAACTTTTAAATTTCATTCATAATATATAATATTGGACTAAAAAATATTTGGTATGAGAATACTTTTATTCACACGGTATCATAAAAAGTAATATTTATACTTTTTGTAAGGGCATTCAAAATAAAATCGATCAAATAAGTTTAATTAAAAATATAATTCTATTACCTATAATTTTGTCGCATCAATTTTGTCGAACGCCGACGACACACCCATGATTATTTACTAATGTTTGTATTAAAGAGCATAAATAATACTCCGTATAATATAATGTCGATAAGGGGATATGTTTTTCTCAACACGACATTTGTCACTATTTATACAAAAAACTGAAAATGATACAATTGTTTTTTAAATAAATATCATCGCATTTAACTGTGTAGTTAGGTTCGGAAATTTAGTTTACAAAATTAGAGGACCTATTACTTTTTATGTATAACTAATTAATTTCTTTTATATTTAAATCATAATTTAAATTTAAATTATTGGAACATGTGTCTACGCAATTGACCCAAATAAAGAAACTAACCATTTTTATTCATACACATTAAACACTAAAAGCCATAATTCCTTTTTTTTATTAATGTAATTTTTTAAAATTGTACTATGTGGGTATAATCAATAAATTTTTCTTTATATTTAATTCATAATTTAAAAAATTATTACGTTGGTCTACGCAATTCACGTTCTAAAAAAGAAAACTAACCTTTTTTATTCCTACGCATTAAACACACGATTTTATTTAATTTCTAATTTAAATTAGTATACCCTAAAAGTCTTACAGTGTTACCTTTTTTAATTAAATACCATAAAAGTCTTATGGAGTACCTTTTTAACCGGGTGCATTTGGGCGGGAATTCGATGGAGCCATTTTCCCCTGCTTTTAAGAATAGAATGATTTTGTTGGTCAGATTCCCAGAGTGGGCTCATCCTTTATTTTGTTCGTCAGATTGAAAAAGGATTGGCACACGTTGGATACATCGTTGGAGTTTAAAGAAGTGTTTCCCAATTATGAATGATAATAGTTGGCATAAAGATTAAAGAGCAAAAGTTCTAACTTTAATTGCTTTTTTTGAAGGGAGTTCTAACTTTAGTTGCTTTAAGAAAATGGTGGAATACAACAAGATGGCGGGTAAATTTCACAAATGGTACCTGAACTTTAGCTGGAATTTCGAAGTGGTACCTGAACTTCAAATCCTTTCACAAAAATCCCTGAACTTACACAATCCTTTCACTAATGAGCCATTAGCCCGTTTCTAGGTTAACTTCCGGTCATTAGGGCCAAATTCGAATTTTATATATTTTAAAATTTTCAATTTGACCCCATTTCTTCTTTTCTTTTCTTCCACGCCCCGCCGCCGCCCGCCGGTCAAAGTCGCCGGAAAATGAACTTTTTCCGATTCCGGCGGGACCAATGTCATTCTCTTCGTCTTGAGACGAGGATCAATAATATCCAAACCATTTTGTCTAATTTGGCCTGTAACTTCTTGAATCTGAATTTTTCTACTCGAAAAAACCCTAAAATTCAAAATTGGATCCAAAATTGGGGTTTTTGCAAATCTTCATCAAATCTTGCAATT